ATCCGATGGGTTAAAGGGGTTGGGCGGTGTTGTCGTCTTTACACTGTAGCGTGTTTTGTAGCCATCAGGCGGATGTTTTGGTGTGACTTGCGGTACTTCCTGGAACATGAAGGTTTCCGCGTGTAATGGAAAGTGTGTGACGCGGCACACGCCTTGTGACTCACCCTTCCGGGGAACTGGCCTGATTCTCAGCTCACGTGAATGTTTTACCTTTCATGGTATTCAGATTCACATGGGTGAAAGGCAGAGAGATGAGGTGAATGATTCCCGTGTGTCCTTGTGTAGAGGAAGGAAAGTTCTCACCCCGGACCGATCAATGAGACCGGAAATTCCTTCCCATCAGACCCGGCCGGGGCACGCAGGAGAGCTCTGAGCGCTGCTTGTTGGGTCAGAGACGCTTCCATGTGTTCAGAAGAGTAGTCCATGCTGGGAACAGACCTCCAGTAGAGGCAGACAGTCAGTCAGCAGTATGATCTGACCTCCATCCTTCCCTTCAGTCTTCTATCTGACCTCCGGCCTTCCCTTCAGTCTTATCTGACCTCCGTCCTTCCCGTCAGTCTTCTATCTGCCCTCCGTCCTTCCCTTCAGTCATCTATCTGACCTCCGGCCTTCCCTTCAGTCTTATCTGACCTCCGTCCTTCCCGTCAGTCTTCTATCTGCCCTCCGTCCTTCCCTTCAGTCATCTATCTGACCTCCGGCCTTCCCTTCAGTCTTATCTGACCTCCGTCCTTCCCGTCAGTCTTCTATCTGCCCTCCGTCCTTCCCTTCAGTCATCTATCTGACCTCCGGCCTTCCCTTCAGTCTTATCTGACCTCCGTCCTTCCCGTCAGTCTTCTATCTGCCCTCCGTCCTTCCCTTCAGTCATCTATCTGACCTCCGGCCTTCCCTTCAGTCTTATCTGACCTCCGTCCTTCCCGTCAGTCTTCTATCTGCCCTCCGTCCTTCCCTTCAGTCATCTATCTGACCTCCGGCCTTCCCTTCAGTCTTATCTGACCTCCGTCCTTCCCGTCAGTCTTCTATCTGCCCTCCGTCCTTCCCTTCAGTCATCTATCTGACCTCCGGCCTTCCCTTCAGTCTTATCTGACCTCCGTCCTTCCCGTCAGTCTTCTATCTGCCCTCCGTCCTTCCCTTCAGTCATCTATCTGACCTCCGGCCTTCCCTTCAGTCTTATCTGACCTCCGTCCTTCCCGTCAGTCTTCTATCTGCCCTCCGTCCTTCCCTTCAGTCATCTATCTGACCTCCGGCCTTCCCTTCAGTCTTATCTGACCTCCGTCCTTCCCGTCAGTCTTCTATCTGCCCTCCGTCCTTCCCTTCAGTCATCTATCTGACCTCCGGCCTTCCCTTCAGTCTTATCTGACCTCCGTCCTTCCCGTCAGTCTTCTATCTGCCCTCCGTCCTTCCCTTCAGTCATCTATCTGACCTCCGGCCTTCCCTTCAGTCTTATCTGACCTCCGTCCTTCCCGTCAGTCTTCTATCTGCCCTCCGTCCTTCCCTTCAGTCATCTATCTGACCTCCGGCCTTCCCTTCAGTCTTATCTGACCTCCGTCCTTCCCGTCAGTCTTCTATCTGCCCTCCGTCCTTCCCTTCAGTCATCTATCTGACCTCCGGCCTTCCCTTCAGTCTTATCTGACCTCCGTCCTTCCCGTCAGTCTTCTATCTGCCCTCCGTCCTTCCCTTCAGTCATCTATCTGACCTCCGGCCTTCCCTTCAGTCTTATCTGACCTCCGTCCTTCCCGTCAGTCTTCTATCTGCCCTCCGTCCTTCCCTTCAGTCATCTATCTGACCTCCGGCCTTCCCTTCAGTCTTATCTGACCTCCGTCCTTCCCGTCAGTCTTCTATCTGCCCTCCGTCCTTCCCTTCAGTCATCTATCTGACCTCCGGCCTTCCCTTCAGTCTTATCTGACCTCCGTCCTTCCCGTCAGTCTTCTATCTGCCCTCCGTCCTTCCCTTCAGTCATCTATCTGACCTCCGGCCTTCCCTTCAGTCTTATCTGACCTCCGTCCTTCCCGTCAGTCTTCTATCTGCCCTCCGTCCTTCCCTTCAGTCATCTATCTGACCTCCGGCCTTCCCTTCAGTCTTATCTGACCTCCGTCCTTCCCGTCAGTCTTCTATCTGCCCTCCGTCCTTCCCTTCAGTCATCTATCTGACCTCCGGCCTTCCCTTCAGTCTTATCTGACCTCCGTCCTTCCCGTCAGTCTTCTATCTGCCCTCCGTCCTTCCCTTCAGTCTCCTATCTGATCTCCATCCTTTTAAAATCTGCAGCTTTCATTTAAATAATTCCCGGTGATCCTGCCATGAAAGTCCTTGTCCAGACACTTCCTGTTATAGGGTGACAACACTCTATCATTGTCTCCTAATTCTGCTTGTGTGTTGTCACCCTGTCACATGGGCTTCCGTTGGGGACTACAATCAGCCCTGGCACTACACATTGCACAGACCTCAGTAGGGAAGCCAGTGCAGTGCAATGATCTTCAGCGAACCACGGAATGAGTGCACGTAGAGAGGAAGTGGCTGCAAGTAGGTGACAGGAGATCCGCAGCACTGAGATCTAAGAAAGTGGGAAGATGCCATTTGTTGATGACGAGCAGCGCAGAGCCAACGCAGTCAGTTTGGGGATTAGATATTCCATAATGAGGAACTTCGGACGGCCTCTGATTGAATAAAGCCGCCATTAGACGGAGCAGCGGATGTGCTGGAATGTCTGGAGATGCTCATTACACGTCAGGAACACGTCACCAGACACCAGGAATGAGGACGGCTGAGCCGCCAACATGCGCACCATGCCCAGCATGCACGTCATGCACACACCATGCCCAGCATGCACACACCATGCACACACCATATGCACACACCATGCCCAGCATGCACACACCATGCACACCATGCCCAGCACACACCATATGCACACACCACGCACACACCATGCCCAGCATGCACACACCATATGCACACACCATGCCCAGCATGCACACACCATGCACACCATGCCCAGCATGCACACACCATGCACACAGACACTGCAATGTGTATATATAAGGACTCTCCATTCTGATTGCAGGCACAGCGAGCGTGGCGAGAGCGTGGAGCTCCAACTTCGATGACATCATCGGCAACGGCATCAGCAACTTCTTCAAAGAGAAAATCTCCTTCCAGGTCCCTCATGTCCTCGCCGAATACCCGGACTTCTTCGCCCTCCTACTGGTCATCCTCCTAACAGGTGAGAGCTCAGCGCCGAGTGTTCCCCCCTCCCCCATCTCTGTCATCAGAACCAAACTGGTACCTGGACCTGCTGTGCTCATTATGAGGGGCTCCCGCCATCCCTGTGCTGAGTTCCCGGGTCTGCACACCTGCTGTGCCCATTATGAGGAGCTCCCACCATCCCTGAGCTGAGTTCCTGGGTCTGTACACCTGCTGTGCCCATTATGAGGGGCTCCCACCATCCCTGTGCTGAGTTCCCGGGTCTGTACACCTGCTGTGCCCATTATGAGGGGCCCCCACCATCCCTGTGCTGAGTTCCCGGGTCTGTGCACCCGCTGTGCCCATTATGAGGGGCCCCCACCATCCCTGTGCTGAGTTCCCGGGTCTGTGCACCCGCTGTGCCCATTATGAGGGGCCCCCACCATCCCTGTGCTGAGTTCCCGGGTCTGTGCACCTGCTGTGCCGATTATGAGGGGCCCCCACCATCCCTGTGCTGAGTTCCCGGGTCTGTGCACCCGCTGTGCCCATTATGAGGGGCCCCCACCATCCCTGTGCTGAGTTCCCGGGTCTGTGCACCCGCTGTGCCCATTATTGAAGGGCCCCCACCATCCCTGTGCTGGGTTCCTGGTCACATTCTCCGGTGAGTTTCCTATGGCCGTGTTCCTGGTCCGATGTCTCGGCCTGGCAGGGGGACGCGGCGCGGAGAATAATGAGAATTGATGAGAGGTGATAATGAGCTTGTTACACTAATGAATGTTCATTTCTGGGGAACGTGTGTGAGACCAAATCCGCTCAGTCAGCAGAATGTGGGAGGAGAAGAATCGGCTCTTGTTGTATCTCTGGGAGGAAGGAAAACAAAATAGATTGTGGCCAACATATCAGTCCCCGGGTCCCCTCTACCCGCTGCCCACACCTGACCTGCCCCACATCATGCCCATCAGCTGTTACTGCCCCAGCGCCCCTAGATATAAGAACAACTTACCCACAGCCGCATCCAGTGGCCTCATGTGTACCGGCCATACCCCCCTGATGGCGGTGTTCTATCAAAGGTTGTGACTACGTTAGAATGTGTGACCGGTGAAATGATCACACGTTTTAACGTAATCCCGCCCAGTTTTTCGGCGGTGGAATGTGTGACCGCCAATAGGTGAAGCATTCCAGCTTTTTCCCAGCTGTTCCAGGGCAGATCGGCATCGCAAATCGCAAGTGCAGGAGAACCGATCTGGCCTAAAACAGCTGATCGGTCCTGAAATGTCACTTCTATCCGACTGCGATCTTACATTCCACCGCACTCACAAAGTCGGATAGAAGTGACATTTCAGGACCGACACAGCTCAGTCAGGACACAGCCCGGGACACAACTCAGTCAGGACACAGCCCAGTACACAGCTCAGTCGGGACACAGCTCAGTCAGGACACAGCCCGGGACACAGCTCAGTCGGGACACAGCCCAGGACACAGCTCAGTCAGGACACAGCCCAGGACCCAGCTCAGTCAGGACACAGCCCGGGACACAGCTCAGTCGGGACACAGCCTGGGACACAGCTTCATGGCAGCAGAAACCCGGACACAAGATGTCAGGCAGACAGGGGCAACCAAAATTAAGATAGGGACTACTAGCCCCCCACTGAAAATAGTCTCAACTGTGATATTTACATATGAATTTACATTTACATAAGCAAGGACTTGTTCTCCCCAAAAAATGTCCGCGTGTCGCTCGAGTGTGTTCGGGTTTTGCTTGAAGAAAAGGTGGCGACCCTAGTCATGGCTCGGGAGACAACCTGGGACACAGCCCGGGACACAGGTCAGGAGACAGCTCGGGACGCAGCCCAGGACACAGCCCAGAACACAGCATCCAAACTACAAATCTCATCAAACTCCTGCTTCTGAAAGTCATACCTGTGGCTGCCACAATCTGTGGGCCGTAGCTGCCCCCACTCCCAGCACCTCCTGCCCTTGCACATCACTGGCTCCCTTTGAGATCCATATCGGAGCCCGGCTGCTATTTTTAGCGCCAGTCCTTGTTGCCGGTGTACGCTCTCCTAATAGCTGCCAATTATTTCCCCCAACGTCTGATTATTCCACATTCAACCAAGTGAATCTTCACGGTAATTATCGGAGGCTTCCATGTCTCCGCTGCCTCTTTCCCAGCCCGGCCTCCATTATCACAGCAGCTGTGAGCCGAGAGTCATTCATAGAAAAGAGCCCTCTGTGCCAATACACCACGGAGAGGCAACCTCAGCATGCCAGGCGTTGTAGAACTACAAGTCCCAGCAGGCATTGCAAGACTCTGAAAGCCACGAGCCCGAGGGGTGATTGGATTTGTAGTTTCTCCACACCTGGAGTGCTGAGGTTGCGAAACCCTGCAATAAAGGATAAAAATATTACTCAGCTCTGTATATTAACCCCATCATAAAATACCCCCTGATGACCCCTCCATGGAGGTTCTTGTTCAGGCACTTCCTGTTATAGGTGTTATAGGGTGACAGCACTCTGTCCTTGTTCAGGCACTTCCTGTTATAGGGTGACAATGCTCTGTCCTTGTTCAGACACTTCCTGTTATAGGGTGACAATGCTCTGTCCTTGTTCAAACACTTCCTGTTATAGGGTGACAACACACTGTCCTTGTTCAAACACTTCCTGTTATAGGGTGACAACTCTCTGTCCTTGTTCAAGCACTTCCTGTTAAAGGGTGACAGTGCTCTGTCCTTGTTCAGGCACTTCCTGTTATAGGGGTGACAATGCTCTGTCCTTCTTCAGACACTTCCTCTTATAGGGTGACAACGCTCTGTCCTTGTTCAGACACTTCCTGTTATAGGGTGACAACGCTCTGTCCTTGTTCAGGTACTTCCTGTTAGAGTGCAAAGTAAACATGAAGATACCTTTTAGGCTGCTTTAACAAGGTGCAGCAAATGAAGATTTGGATCCTCAGCTTCCTGTTCCTGAACCTGATTTATCCGTCTCATTTGTTTTCATTAAAGTGTAGCGGAGCCAATTCCACCCTCGCGTCAGACTGCTGACTCCTCCATGGAAACCTCCGGTCCCTGCTACGGGATATTCATTATAGGGATCCAATAATGATTCATTGCACAAGATTCAATGTATATCTGTCACATACGGTTCAATCACGTCCTCGGCACACCTAACCAAAACCACAGCGACATTCCGTTCTTTTTTTTTTTTTTTTTTTTAAACCTGCAATTGTTTAGTTATTACAATGCTAAAAAAAAACACGAAAAATTTCCAACGACAATAGAAAACCAAAGTTTAAATATGGTAATAAATCATTGGGGGATGGTGTAACATCGGGGATAACAAAGGGTTAAATTGTAGGGATTGACAGAGGGGGGTGGTGCATTGAAGCCAGTGCAGGGATCGGCAGAGGGGGGCTGCAGACACTATACTGTATACTGTGTTCAGCCCTATTCACGTGTTCGATATCAATGTCCCCTCTCCGTGTCCGCTATTGTCTATATTAGACTTTCCTGTTTTTTTCTCTTTCGAAGTGCTTCTTGCCATCGGAGTCAGCGAGTCCGCCCTGGTCAATAAGATCTTCACCGCCATCAATCTTCTGGTCTTGGCTTTCGTCATCCTGGCTGGTTTCATCAAAGGCGACATCAAGAACTGGAAACTCACTCAGGAGGATTTCGATAATTTATCAAAAATATATAACCACAGGTAAAAAAAAAAATGCCTCAGGGCCTACTGAGCAAGTCCATTTCAGATTCCTACACTATATGGCCAGAGGTATGTGGACACCTGACCATCACACCTACTATACGGCCAACAAATGTGGACCCCTCCGCCCTGCCAAATGATGGAGTTCTGGTGCCTCCAGTGAAGGTTCCGGTAATCCTCCATCATACAAAGACATTGTAGACAATTGTGCTCTTCCAGCCTTGTGGTCACAGCTTGGTGAAGACCCTTTTCTGTTCCACCATGACTGTCCCCTGTGTACAAAGCCAGTTCCATAAAGACATGGTGTGACCAGCTTTGTGTGGGGGAACTCGAGTGTCCTGCACAGAGCCCTGACCTCAACCCTACTGAACACCTTTGGGATGAATTGGAATTGTGAGCCGGGTCTTCTCATCCAACATCAGTACCCGACCTCACAAACAAAATTCCCACAGACACCCTCCAAAATCTTGTGAAAAGTCTTCCCAGAAGAGTGGAGGATGGTTTAGCTGTAAAGGAGGCTACTCCACCTTGATGGCCATTTAGGGGGAACACCTTCATATTATTGGTCCTGGGGTGAGGCAACTCCATGGTGATGGCCAAGGAACAAGGGGGCAACTCCATATTAATGGCCAACTGCACACTGATGGCCATTTAGGGGGAACATCTTCATACTATTGGTCCTGGAGTAAAGCAACTCCATAGTGATGGCCAAGGAACAGTGGGACAACTCCATATTAATGGCCAACTGCACACTATAGTTAGGTTACACAAGCAGTTGGGAAGCCCGCTGCTGTGTAACCTAACTACCTGTCAAAAGCCAGATGCAGCGCCGCCTGCAATTAACAGGCAGCGCTCCGTCTGTGACAGGTTACACAGCGGGGAAGGCTTTCCCTGTTTTGTAACCTGTAACAAGCCGATCTTAATGGAGAAAAAGCTTTTGGCTTCAGACTTGAAGCTGACAGCTTTTCCTCCATAATACTAGGTGAGGCTCTGCCTCCACTGACCGCACGTCTCTGCATTGGCTGCATACCGTTGATACTCCTGCAGTGGTTTTCTTCATTGTGATATATGACGCAGTATTTGTGCTCAGTGCAGTGGCGTCACAAGGGGGGTGCGGCCCGCACCCGGGTGACACCATTGGAGGGGTGACACAATACATGTTCACCCTGGGGGGGCGTGACAACTGTTTTGGTTTCTTTGTAAATGGTTCTGAATATATTTTGTTGCAGGTGAAGAAGCCAAAAATCCTCAACGTTCCATCCCTATTGGGATCATCGTTTCCCTCTTTGTGTGCTTCCTGGCGTACTTTGGTGTGTCTGCAGCACTCACACTCATGATGCCTTACTTCTTACTGAGCAAACAGAGCCCCCTTCCGAAAGCATTTACACATGTGAACTGGGAACCGGCCCGTTACGTGGTGTCTGTGGGATCCCTATGCGCCCTCTCAACAAGGTAATACAATGGGGCAACAATGTTGCGTCATGCATTAACTTCTACTTATCTTCGAGTCCCCTTCGAGATGATGCAGGAATGTTTTTGTTTACATGTGAATACAATTCCCTATGCTGAGCGGTCAGGGGCTCTCTGTTCATTATAATCCCAATTAAATCTAATGACCCCATTTATAACATGTACATACAGTCCATTCATAAAAAAATTAGGAATGGATTGTATCCAATTTAGTAAAATCTTAAGTTGATTGAAGTTCATTGCAATGACCCCGCTTAGATCACACTCAAAGGTCATTGTAAATGAACATCAATCAAAGTAAGATTCTAATAAATGAGATACAGTCCACTCATAATATTTTCACTATGAATGGACTGTATGTACGTGTTCACCACACATGCTGATCTGATGACCACATGGCTTTGTTTGTAAACAAATGGCTAGTGTTGGAGTTATCATTATGATTGGCACTTTGTCCAGGAAGGGAGGGAGGAACTGCAACGGCAAAAATGAAGCTGCTAATCTTGTTTTTAAATTCCTTTCCAGCTTACTGGGCTCCATGTTTCCTATGCCGCGGGTCATCTATGCTATGGCTGAAGACGGGCTGCTTTTCAGGTTCCTTGCTAAGGTCAACCAGAGGACAAGGACTCCGCTGGTCGCAACTATCGTGTCTGGAATTGTATCAGGTGAGAATGCATGGAAATTCAAAAAAGTTACACTTATTAGGGGTCACCTGAGCTCACTCCCAGGTCACCTGAGCTCACTCCCAGGTCACCTAAGGTCTCTTCCAGACCAAATCCAGGTCACCTGAGCTCGCTTCCAGGCCAAATCCAGGTCAACTAAGCTCGCTTCCAGACCAAATCCAGGTCAGATGAGCTCACTTTCAGACAAAACCCAGGTAACCTGAGCTTGCTTCCAGACCAAATTCAGGGCACCTAAGCTTGATTCCAGACCAAATCCAGGTCACCTGAGCTCTCATGCAGACCAAATCCAGGTCACCTGAGCTTGATTCCAAACCACACTCGGGTAACTTGAGCTCACTACTAGACCACGCCTAGGTAACCTGAGCTTGCTTCCAGACCAAATTCAGGGTACCTAAGCTTGATTCCAGACCAAATGCAGGTCACCTGAGCTCTCATGCAGACCAAATCCAGGTCACCTGAGCTTGATTCCAAACCACACTTGGGTAACTTGAGCTCACTACTAGACCACACTTAGGTAATCTGAGCTTGTTCCTTGGCCACACCCAAGTAATCTGAATTCAGTCTTACACCCAGGTCACCTGAGCTTGCTTCCAAACCACACCCAGGTTACCTGAGCTTTGCCCCAACCCACATTCGGGTCACCTGAGCTTGGCCCCAACTCACACCTGAGTCACCTGAGCTTGGTCTTATACCACACCTAGGTAACCCAAGGTCTCGGGCCAGACCCAGGTAACCTGAGCTCGGTACAGGCCACACCCAGGTAACCTGAGCTCGGTACAGGCCACACCCAGGTATCCTGAGCTGGATACAGGCCACACCCAGGTAACCTGAGCTGAGTGTGATGCCAGGTATAAGTGTTCTAAGATATTCAAATTCTTTGATTTTCTCTATTTGGTTACAATGGTGAACACTCTGGGAATGGGGTGATGTTAATGTTAGGAATATTTTGCAGCAGATGGGGATTCTGACATAATTTCCACATCATTAATTTGGTGCTGAACCGAGTACAGCCTTGACAGAGAAAAACATCGACATTTAGGGTGTAAAAAAAGAAGGCTGCCTCTCTCAACATGACCAAAATGCCTGAGGACGTCCATTAAATGACTGTCATTGGTTGAATTCTGGAGCCTGTTCATTAAATTGATACCATGCTGTGCAAAATGTACAAAACTGCCAACAGCGGCGTACTCAGACCCGAGAGCGTTCAGGTTCCTTCTCCCAGCCCAACTCCAGAGAACTGATTTCAGTACGTGTTCGGCAACAAATCCCTGGCCACAAGTGTCCCTCATCTGTGTTCCAGGATCATAAATCACATTATTTATGACATAGTTATGACAGTTCAATGTCGTTGCTCACACCGAGGGTTTCAAACATGATACATCATAAAAGAGTAATGCGGCATCAAATACCCGAGCAAGATACAGAGGCTTCCAGCCCAGACAAGCCGAATATGTACAAACACTCATGTGATACCACATCAACAATACATCATTAGCCTAGTGTTGCCGTGCATGCATTAGTGTGCATTGGCGTCTGTCCTTGATACTGGACATCCTCACAGACTTGGAGGGTATCTAAACCGCTTCCTCTCTGGTGGATGCTACCTTGAGGCCCAAGATTCCTGATTTACCTGTTGGTGATCCAGACTGCCGGTCCCTGCCCTTGTCTCCTGCCCCCGTGGCCAACCTCTCCTGTTCCTGATACTCTCTCTCTTGCCTGCTTCCTACCTTGACCCCAGCCCCAATACCAACCATTCTCAGGCCTTCTGCCCTTGAACTCAACCAGATTACCAACCATTATCTTGCCTGCCTTCTGCCCTTGCCCTCAGCCTGAATACCAACCACTCTCTTCCTACCTCAACCCTTTGCCAGGGCACCAGCTATGCTCTTGCCTGCTGCCTGACCTCAACTCATCTTCCTGAGCTCCTGCTTTCCAGTACTTGGTCTGCATGCTGTAGCCACTCTGTAGCTGTGACCTTTGGTAGAGTCAATCCTGTGGAGTCAATCCTGAGGGCCGCAACCTGGTGATAACTAGCAGCAAAGTAGCCCAGGGACCACTAAGGTCAGTGACCCATGCAGGGCATTCAGGTGAAGATCAAGCTGTCAGACTCTGTTCCTTAGGTGAGCCAGTAGCACCTGCCAAGGGTGTCAGTCCAAACAGTATCCTGTGATTGAATATGGGGGGTATTTAAACATGTGTTGTTGTATTGTGTTTGCACTTTTTGGGCTTTGGCCCGGAAACGTCCATCTTGTTTGGATATTATAAGTTGAATGACTGTTTGTTTGTTTTTTTAAATCAAGAATTTTTTGTTTTTTTTGTTTTACAATACATAACATCAGTCCAACATATCAGTGACAAAGGTTCATGTGTGATGGCAAGATATGGACATTTAGCGTCCTCAACACTTTCGCTATATAGGCACTGCTCTGGTAGGAGCAGCACACAACGGGTTAACACAAACAGTTACTAATAAACATTTCTGAGGTCATTAATCTAGTTGAATTAGTGAACTTCTAATACTCTAGATGTAACAGAAAGAAGTGTAAACATTTGTGGGGGGCCGCGTACTTCCCGTACGCCACCGAATGACTGTTTTTTATGTAGAAATAAAAGCTTTTTGCACGAAATACTTTTGACCCCATAGGTGCTAGACACCTGTTATGTACTATATTCTGGCGATCCCTGTGGATGCCAAAGGGTTGGTGACTACATGACATGGCACTTCATTGAGAATTTGTTGGGGTGCTCTGTGAAATGTGGTGGGCAGTTATTATAATTGACATTTTGCTATGTTTTGGTCTATCATTCTGACTTCATTCACATTATGCCTCACAGCTATCATGGCTTTCCTGTTTGAGCTAGACGCTCTGGTGGAACTGATGTCCATCGGCACTTTGTTGGCGTATTCCCTGGTTGCGGCTTGCGTTGTCATCCTCAGGTAAGAAATCACCTCTAATTTTTACCACACATTTATGAACAATTACTGAAAAGGAAGAAAAAAACCCTTGTAACATTTACTGGCAAAATTCTGCCTGCTCGTTGAGAGGGAGGAAATCTCTGAGAAGAGATTGTTGCGGTGGTGGCCAATTTTCCCCTTTTCTCTGTCTAAAATGAAAGCAAGAACCTCAGCTCACGGTGGAAGAGTTTCAAAAGTTTATTTAGACAGTTTCATTAGGAGTTACAATGTAAAAGTAAAGATTAAAAAGCAGAGAAATGAACGTGCACAGAGGTCCTTAGACGTAACAATTGTGTTGAGGACCTTGTGACTTCCTCAGAAGGGAAGGCTTTGAAGGCTCCAATCCTGGACAGTCACCATGTAGGCCAAGGGTATCGAAAGTTCAACCCTCCAGCTGTTGAGGGAGAAAAAGCCCCATAAGGCATTGCAAGATTCTGACAGTCACAGACATAACTTCCAGAGACAGAGGCATGATGACATTTGTGGTTGCATCACAGCTAGAGGGCTGGACTTTGGTTTCCCCGATGTAGGACCTTCCAACATACACATTTTACATACTAACTCATCGACCTTAAGAACTTGCTCGAGCAACACATGGAAAATTACAGGAGGCATTATTTCTATTTTTCTGGAACACCTTATCAGCTTGACCGTGACTCAGACTTGACTGAAATACCTTGATGTGGAACATGGGAGACTGTCTCTACACACTGCACAAGGGCCATGGGATCTCCAACTAGCTCCAATAGCCTCTCTCTGTAAGGTCATCCTAGAAAGGGAACCTATTATAGAAGGAACCCGACATTAGCATATAAGCACCTAATATGGTCCAGACAATCCATCTGGTCAATAGTAAAGTTGGCCTTCAAAATAACCTATCATGAAAAAAGAAAAATATGGGGGCTGCTATTGCTGAATCCACTGCTTCAATATTTGAGTCAGTGTCGTGGACCGAGGAGGGAACTTGGGCGATTCAATGAACTCTGAATGGGAATTGCTGAGGAGCATTGATTCAGGGGAGTCACCCTGAAAGCCAGACAGTTCCAGGGGAGCACATCAATGGCAGCCTTCATATTTCATAGTTACATAGTTACATAGTATTTGAGGTTGAATAAAGACATTAGTCCATCAAGTCCAACCTATAGGATAATGGTGATAGCTGGATCAGAGGAGAACCCTAGAACTGCTATGTGCACTGACTTGTAGATGTGATGTGTTCAGAAATGTGAACATGCCGGTGTTGTAGGGTGCCTAGCCACTGGCTCATTTTTTGTCTTTGGCCACCTCAGGTACCAACCCGAGCAGCACTTCCTGAAGCCCATGGACACAGAGATGGTCAAGCTGAACGATACCGACAACGGGGTGTCGGAAAAAGATCTCCAGATTACTCCGCACTCAGCTGAAACCGACTCATTCCGTGTAAAGAATCTCCTGTATCCGACCTGTAACGAACCAACCAGGATGTCCGGACGCATCGTTTATGGCTGTGTCTCTGTACTATGTAAGTGTTTTCATTATGGCTCGGGCAAGGCCAAGGCAGGAGACCTGAGTTTTCTTTGCCACAGTTCTGTAACACTTACCGGTCTTGTCCCTTCCCCCACCCTATGGCTGGATAGCGAGAAGCAGGGGACTGATGAGCTCATTTCTCTGTCACTCTGTTTTCTCCTATCAGCATGTCCCTTGTTAGCACTGCAGCACAATTGGTTGGCATCTTCTCCCTCTCCCAGCTCTGCTGTACAGGGGATGTAAGAGACTGATACTGGGTCACATTCAGATACTTATGCTGCTTGTATTAGGGTTAGGGTTACATTTATATAAATTTTTTATAGTCTCTTTACACATCTCCTAATTTTACTCTTTCTCGTACAACAGCGGTTTTGTTCATCGCCTTATGCACGCTGCTGGCTTATAAACTTGATGACCTCCTCAACGGATGTCCCGCCTATGTCGTGTCTTTGGCCGTGATGTCCGTGGCAGCCGTAGCCATTACCGGGATCATCTGGAGGCAGCCGGAATGCAAAACCCAACTGTCATTCAAAGTATGTTCCGCCTCCTCGCCATCATGGCCGAAACTTTTCATATATTGGCAACATGGCTGAACCTACAATGGTTGGTGCGTGGATGCAATGTAGGACCTGATATTAAAGGGAGGCGTTCATGGTTCGGGGGCCAGTTTATGTCTCTTTTATACATTTATGATACAATCTTCTCAAATATACATTGAAAGTGAACCTTCAGATTTGAACTTCCAAACATAAAGAGGGTCAGCCGAGGAGGAAAGAGGAACACAGGGATTGGGTTATGAGGGACATTTGGAAGCCATGCTCTATTAGTACAAGCCGAAAATGTAAGAATACCTTTCCCTGTTTACTAGCATTAGTCTAACTATAATCACGGCAGCCCAGATGGCTGCTATGGGGCCCGAAGGGTGGGAAGGGGGCCCCACTAGAAAGGTTTTATGATGTCTCCATTTCAGTATAGCTTACATCAGATGCACGGAATCATGCTCCGGGATCATCCTGTCCCTAGTCACAGATCTCCTTTGCGCCCTCATATCTGTGAGTAGATTTATGGCCTTCGCAGCTTATGGTCAGACCGGCCAGCAGTAGGGAGGGGCTTAGAATTCACACCGAAACCCTGAGCATTACCTTAAACCAGGGCTGTCCCCCTAATTAGGCAGCCTGAGATGGTTGCAGAAGGCATCCCTTGGAGTCATGTGCCACCACCTTTCTGGCCAGAGTGTCTTAGCTACCTGTGACGCCGTGGCTGGCATTCTGCCCAGTTCACAGACGTTACTGGTTGCCAGGAGCTGAGTGGGACACTCTGGCTGGCATGCAGCCCAGCTCCTTGCAACCAATGACATCAGTGAGCTGAACGGTACTTAAGACAGAAGTACAGCGCATGCCCAACCCCCCCTAATGTGTTCCCAACACCATCATCCCACTGTCCCTCCATAATGTGCACCGCCAGAACCACCAATACCACCCCACACCCTGGCCAAAGCATAGGGGTATCCCTACCTTGAATATCTTTCCACCACGTACCTCAAGGATACATAAAAGTAGCAGCTCTGTTCCCAGTGACTCCGACCTCTTCCTGCCCATTACATTCTGGTCAATGGAAACCAGGCTTCTGGGGCAAATGGGCTTCAAGACTCAGTCATTTAGCTTGATCTGTTTCCTGAAGTTCCGTTTTATATGAATTATACCAGGAAAGTGAACTAATAAAGAGCACGGAGGAGCTCTGCTATATAACTAAGGGGAATTTAGAAGAGGCCATTAAGGTGGCGGGTTGGTGTTGGTGGTTCTGGCGGTGCACATTATGGTGGGGCATTGGGGTGGTGGTGTTGGTGGCGGCGCACATTACCAGGGGGCGGAGGGGTTGGGTATGTATTGTACTGTCCTGTGTACCGTCCACCCAACTCTGTAGATGGAAAGAAAAGTCTGGATGTGATCTAAATTAATAGATTATAGTTGGTTATTATTAATATTAAGAATTACCATGGTTGAGTGCAGTGGTATCTGATTGCCTTGGGGGGGGGGTTAGGAACAAATTGAACATTGCTTTCTAAGGGTTGTTTGGCTTCCTCTGGATCATCAGTGGGTAGAGGGCTCTATATATGGTGGTTCTCAATTTGTTATGTTGGTTGACCTTGGATGGAGCTGTATCTTTTTTCAACCTAACAATGTAACTGCAGCACATAGCATACAATGTAACGATGTAACTGCAGCACATAGCATACAATGTAACGATGTAACTGCAGCATGTGACGTAATAATGTAACAATGTAACTGCAGCATGTGACATAACAATGTAACTATGTGCTGGTTGGAGCAGATTGAACGATGCTTATTAAAGGAGAACTATGGGGTCAGTGCTTTTCCCCATAGTTCTCTTAAGGGTCATGGGAGGACATAAACTAGCGTCCTCCCGTGGCCCAAAGCTCAGTATACCGCGAGCTACAGCTCGCGGTATACTGAGATCGCCGCAGCCGGGCCGGATCCCAACATTACTGTCGAGATCCACCCAGCTGCGTGATTGACAGCTGGCTCTGTAAAGCAAAACAAAGACAGCTGGCTCTGCCTCTCTACTCTAGAGGCAGAGCCAGCTGTACCCGCCCCCTCCCCCGTCCGTTCCTCCAGTCAGCACTGGAGGATCAGAGCGGGGAGGGGGGGAATCCCTGCAGGGAGCCGTGAGTGACAGTCACGGCTCTCTGCAGGGAAATGATCGAGAAGTGAGCGAGCGACGGTATGTATTCGCTCACTTCCCGATCTATTGCGCCGACCTGTGACAGTTTCATTGTCGCACGTCGGCTCGAACTATGAGGTTGAGTGAAAATCACACACCTCATTGTTCTCCTTTTTAAAGGTTTTTGGCCTCCACTGGATCATCTGCCAGTTTTGGGTTCTGAGAATGCCTTTTGTTAAATTCTGGGTTGAACTCGGTGGGCGTGTCTTTTTTCCAACCTATATAATTGTATACAATAATCTCTATGAAAAAATTTATAAAATCTGAATTTACGAAGTGCACGGATAGCCTTGTATCAGGCTTGTAAACACATTTATCTTATCATTGTGATACATTGTGTACAATACGATAACGGCTTCAGAAGTATAAATAGTTCAATGTCATGTTTCCACCAGGTGCCGGCCCTCCCCGTTCTCCCATTATTCAGCGTCTTCATCAATCTGTACTTCATGATGCAGTTCAAAGCCGAGACGTGGATCGGATTTGCTGTCTGGATGGCAATTGGTGAGTATTAAGGGCTTAAAGGACAACAATATATTTGCTGACGTAATCTCCCGCTTCTACGTACCGAGATAATAGAGCGGTTGTTGGAGGACATCAATGATCACATACGCAGCTTGTACACTGTAATTATGGACTTTAGAAAGTGTATGTTTTAAAGCAGAACTCCGTCCTCCCCTTCAGTCTTCTATCTGACCTCCGTCCTTCCCTTCAGTCTTCTATCTGACCTCTGTCCTTCCCTTCAGTCTTCTATCTGACCTCCACCCTTATCATATAGCTTTATACATCAGCTGCACATATCATAAGGATATATACCTGATGCTAGGTCCACTTTCCGAGGTCCAGTATATAGTCACCTCAGCACCGTTTGATAGAGGAAACATTTTATGATGATCTTTCTTTTTTATGTTGTAGGGTACCTCATCTATTTTTGTTATGGGATATGGAACAGCACCGAGGAGCAGAACGGTAAGAATAAGGACAGTCTCCTGAAAACAAAGGACGCTCTTCCTAAATCGAACGGTCAGGAACTCTCAGAAGGCGCTGTGTGTTGACCTCCCTACGCTCAGCTTGATGTGTAGATTTGTCACAGGGATCTACTTCATGCACTTGGCAAAATTACAGACTCGATGACCTCATCCTCATCTCTGTGGTCTACAGACGGTATACTATAGGTAATGACGACGGCCATCTTTTATTCTTGTATGAGTCTATTGTAGAGCGATATCACAAGACCTTCAGATGGCTCCATGTGCAGTCCAGGCCTCTGCCGTCTATGTCAGATCTGTCTGTTGGGCATGGTCACTCTCCGAGTGGCTTAACGCACAAAACAATTGAAGTATTTCACGGTTTGAGTGGCTCGGCACTCAGCAATGGTCATACGTTGGTGGTATCGCCTCATTGTGGGACCTTATTGTGAAGTCTTCTGTATTCCTCACTCACACAAATCGATTTCTTCTTCTTTATTAGGTTCTATTGTCCCATTTGTGGTGGGATGAGATGCAGATTATAACACAATCAGTAGCAGCATTATAACGCTGATTATACATTCCATTTGCAGCATGCCAAAATTGTTATTTATAGCGTCTTGAGGAGAATTGACAGCACAATATTCCACTGAAAATGGCCTGAAATTGTACCGGCCAGGACAACAGAGAATAAGACAAATTGTAGGCATGCCAGGCTGAACCGATGAAGAATCTTACGCTTACAGATAGAAGAAGTATTTATTGTATTTTGTATTTAACTTCTGCTACTTGACATTCAAAGTGCTGCTTCAACCCAAGTGTTACAGAATGTCTGTCAGAGGAGCAAAACGTAATACACAATCAGCACTGACTGTTCGGCAGCTGCTAGCTCATACAGAACAATTCATGAAGCTTGTTCTAATAGGTTGAAGGTTCCAGAAGGCCAAATGTTTGTGGACACCTGACCATCACATCTAAATGAACCTGTTGGACATCCCATTCCAAACCATGGCCATTAATATGGATTTTCCCCCATCTGCATTAAAATGGAGTTGCCCCCCCATGGCCATTAATATGGACTTTCCCTCCTACCCTCAGAGACTTTATTATGGAGTGGCCCCCCATGACCATATGGAGATGCCGCACCCCATTCCCCCCATCACCTATGGCCATTAATATAGACTTGTCTCTCTTTTATGTCCATTTCTATGAACCCTCCACCCACTTCCCCACATGGTCATGAATATGGAGTTGTGCCACCCATGGTCATGAATATGGAGTTGTCCCACCCATGGTCACGAATATGGAGTTGTCCCACCCATGGTCATGAATATGGAGTTGTCCTGCCCATGGTCATGAATATGAAGTTGTCCTGCCCATGGTCATGAAGTTGTCCTGCCCATGGTCATGAAGTTGTCCTGCCCATGGTCATGAAGTTGTCCTGCCCATGGTCATGAAGTTGTCCTGCCCATGGTCATGAATATGAAGTTGTCCCGCCCATGGTCATGAATATGAAGTTGTCCCGCCCATGGTCATGAATATGAAGTTGTCCCGCCCATGGTCATGAATATGAAGTTGTCCCGCCCATGGTCATGAATATGAAGTTGTCCCGCCCATGGTCATGAATATGAAGTTGTCCCGCCCATGGTCATGAATATGAAGTTGTCCCGCCCATGGTATTGAATATGGAGTTGTCCCGCCCATGGTCATTAATATGGAGTTGTCCCATCCATGGTCATGAATATGGAGTTGCCCTTCTTTGTGGATTTAACAGTCTTCACTTTTCTGGGAAGGGTTCCACAAGATTTTGAAGGGTGTCTGTGGGAATGTGTCTCAGTTGTGAGGTCAGGTACTGATGTTGGATGAGAAGACCTGGCTCACAATCAGCGTTCGCATTCATCCCAATGGTGTTCAGTAGGGTTGAGGTCAGGGCTCTGTGCAGGACACTCAAGTTCCTCCACACCATCTGGTCACGCTATGTCTTTATGGAGCTGGCTTTGTGCACAGGGGACAGTCATGGTGGAACAGAAAATGGTCTTCACCAAACTGTGACCACATGGCTGGAAGAGCACAATTGTCCACAATGTCTTTGTATGATGGAGAATTAACAGAACCTTCACTGGAGACACCTGAACTCCATCATTTGGAGGGAAGTCCACATACTTTTGGTCATACAGGTCGGTTTCATGGTCAGGTGTCTGCATACATTTGGTCATACAGGTCAATGTGATGGCCAGGTGTCTACATACGTTTGGTCATATAGGTTGGTGTGATGGTCAGGTGTCTACATACATTTGGTCATATAGGTCGGTGTGATGGTCAAGTGTCTACATACTTTTGGTCATATAGTTCAATGTGATGGTTGGGTGTCTCCATACATTTGGTCATACAGTCTACCTGCCCTGCAGTCTTAAGTTGCCCATACACCTGCCGATTATCGTACGATAATCGGCAGGTGTATGGAAGACGTGCAACCGTTTCTACTGTACAGTTGCACGTCTTTTGTCTCTCGAGCACGCTGGAAAACCAGCCGAAAATCGTAAGATTTAGTGGCGTGCTCGGAAGACAAATGCCGAACGGGCTGGTGTGCGCAAGTGCACACTGCCCACTCAGCATTGGAATCATCGGAAGCCCTCCCCTCAGCGGGGAAGGCTTGCGATGATCGCAAGTACGATCTGCCTGTCCAAGATGGGCAGATCGTACGAGCTTTTAATTAGATTACAACCATCGCAAGACAACGAAATTCGTGCGATGGTTGTAAGGTGTATGGCCAGCTTTACACTAGTAGAGCAAAGAGTTTAGGAACAAAATCTTGTCTCTGGATCTGTTCAGTAGAGCTTCAATGAATGGTTTCCTGCTCCAATAAGGGCAGAAGATACTTCCAGCACTTATTTCCACAATGTTTGAATACTGGAAAATAGTAATACTTGATTGGTGAGTTTGTATTTATTGTATTCACACTGCCATGAGTTTGAGAGGTGGGAACATGTACGGAATAAAATTCATATTTTTGTTTTGCTTTGGTGGAGGACCAACCTCAACCAGAGAAGGTCAGTGATATTTTAAAGTGTAAATCCAGACAAGACTTTCTTTTAGTTTTGGATAGATTGGAAAGGTCGGAATCTTCAAGTTTCCATCACTGTCTGAGTTCTGCTTGGGGAGATTTTCCTTCATTTAACCTTTTCCCCACTTTATCCAAAACAAACCAAGATGCTTCTGCTGGAGATTCCCTTTAACACTGTTATTTATTTTTTATTGTTTTATGATATATCTTCTTTTTTTTTTTCTTCCTCTCATGTTTGGGACCTAGAAGATAAAGCATTGGCAGGTCGATAGGGAATATTTTATACATTGTATCTTATATCTTCAGTTACATTCGGTGCCATTTGCGTTGCTGTTTTTTTGCACTGTAACTGGCGTCATGAATTGTAGGGATCAGATAAAACAAAAAAGGCAACATTGTCATTTCCTCTCTTCTTTGTTGCTCAATTGTTTGTTTTTAACGTAACTCGTAATATTGTATTTTTTTAATGGCTTTTCTGATGTTTGTTGTATAGAAAGTGATGTGTTTTATATCTAAATGTATTGTTCTCATGAAGTGTGTAATCTGTCATATGAGACAAACTTCTAACTGTATTTTTGTACAAATAAATATTGAGTTTTTTTTCTATTTTTGGGTTTTCATTGGTGTAAAACTCGCGTGTCCTAAATCTATCATTGGCATTAAATGAAGAATCGCGCTGCACTACATCTACTACCAAATACAATGATGTTGTCTAGGCACGGCTCTCTTTCCACATGTGACACGTGTGTGATGTGTAATGATCTGATCACAACTTCCTTCCTCAGTGTCCTAATCACTGAATCTACAGAAGGAACGGCGACGCAATAACTCACCCGATTGATGTTGCCTCCCCATCGCTCTGATACTCCCCGTGAACAATTACTAGATCGATCTGGGAATACGTTTCATTAGGATGTGAACACCTGACCATGAACTCTCTTGACAACGCCTTGACGTCACTGCTCTATGGGATTTGGTATCGGCCCATCAAAGAACTCACAGACTACCCGGAGCTTTGTGGTCACATGACTGCATTACAAAAGAGTACAATAAGCAAAAAATAAATAAAAAATATGAAAATGTTTTTTATTTTAATTTTTCCACATTTTTAAAATATTTTATTCTCATTTATTTTTTATAAACTTTTTTTAATTTTTTTCAAATTTATTTTTATTCATTTTTTTATTAAATATTTTTATTTTTTACTTTACTTTTAGGGGCTTTGGGGAAATATTGTCTAAACAGACCCCTGATATTTCCCTTTTAAAATAGAAAAAGAGATTGAGGACAGCCCCTGTTATGAATGAACAGGAATCCTCTATACTGAGTGTTCCTGTTCATTCATAACTTGAGAACATTGTGTGTTTACTATAACCACAATCATGTATGAACAGGAGGTGATGTAGATCACCCATTCATTCATAATTGAGGATATAGTAAACATACTCCTGTGGGAGGAGAGAAGCCGGCCACTCACAGCGCTCTCCTTCCGCAGCGCTCGGCCGGCTGTCACACTTTCTCACCTCCCCGCTGGGACACAGAGCAGCGCCCAGCGGGGAGGAGACAATAGAACGGATGCACCGCTGTATCGGCAGGAAATTGCCACTTTCGGCATTTAGCCAAAAGTGCCATTTTCGGCCGATATGTTTCGGCGGCCGATATATCGGTGCATCCCTAATATATAAACATAGATAGATAGGCAGGCAATTTTTTAGAAAATGTATGCAGGGGGTATCGGAGCAATGGGGAAGCAATATTTAAAGGTGGGGTCTTGCAAAGCCATTCCTTCCACATTAAAGCATTACTCCCGTCAACAAAAATAATGTATTTCATGTAATAATGTAAATAATGCCCATTGAAAGCTAAAATTTTTAAAAAAATAAGCTCCCCCTGTAGTATTTATTTTCCAACACTAAATGTCCTCAGTCTCCCAGGATGAATGACAGCCAGCATCATTCAACCCACTTCCTTTGAGCCCTGGCTGTCATGGACCCACCCCAGCGGGTGTTTGGAAAGAGAAAGG